ATTCAAATGATTTATCATTAAGTAAAACCCATTTTCTCATAGAAATACCTATTCTCCAGAAAAATCAAGTTACTAAATGCTGAGAATATGCCTAATTTGACATTTTGTAGACAAATAGTAAGGGAAATTGAGAGAATTTATTGATTTTGATCAGGATATTCAATTTTAGAACTCCTGGTTTTGTTTGTTTTTTCACAGATTGGGTGTTAAAAACCAAGGTGCACGCGGACGCTAAACATAGAAAAAAACTTGAAATGGCATTATTCTAAAATTATTTTACCTACCATTTGTATGAAAGCCGGAAAGGTTCATTTCTAAAAAGATAAAAACTATTTAACTCGTTATAACGAGATAGTTATCTCGTTATAAAGAGTTAATTATCTCGTTATAACGAGTTAGTTTTCTCGTTATAACGACTTAACTATCTCGTTATAACGAGTTAATGTTCAGAAGCCATTAAATTCTTACGTAGCTGAGCTTACAATTTTTTGACCGGTCGGCAGGGGATCCTCACTCCTCCATGGCACCTGATCCCACCTCTGATGTTTTGGAGGTCCGTGTTTGCTCTACTCCTTTTTTGCATTGCTTTATGTTCTTTTTTTCTTGAATACTTTACGTTTTATCCATATGTTTCAAAGCATCATGAAGTACCGATATATGCAACTCGTGTCAACGTTATTAAATTCTTAATAATTGATGGTCGTGTGGAGCTTTTGTTTTTAAGATCGTTAAATAAAATTTTTAAAAAAAGGTTAAAGGTCCTTATTAATGTTTTTTTTTCATTGTTATTGACAACAAGGTTGTTTATTGGAGAGAAAAAAAGAGTTCTTTATTTTCAATATCTGACTTGAGGACTGTGCTGGGTACCCCTACCATTGCCACATTCATATACCATTGAAAAGAAACTTTTTTGCTTTCATTAATTCTTCGTAATTGTCCAATATATATACAAAGTAGTTGAGCCTTACGTCTCGGGTTCGAATCCCATTGTGGTACGTGGAGACCGGTCCTTCGGAGGAGACCTATGAGCCGAGGTGTCGTGTCGCAGTAGGTCCTGGCACGAAAAAGATCCATCCTTTCTCAATGGTCCTGAGTATAGGACACAATTTGCAGCTATCCAGCGGCAAGTAGTGGCTTCTAAATATGATTGAAAAATTTCGAGAGGGACGTTAAACAACATTCACACAAAACAAAATATTTGCAAAGGTTCACCGACGGTCGTTAATTCGAAAGAAAAATTAAAACAATGCCTCAATAATTTTCGAAAAGCCCTTGTATAAACTCATCACCTGCATACGCAGTTTAAACATCTCAGTTTATTCGATATACAAAAGCATGCTCTACGTATGAATAATATCTTTAACGAAGTATATTAATGACAAACAAGCTCATAAATAAGAATATCAGCAGTCTCGATTAAAATAATCATTTCGTAAGTTCTACGGTCAATACAATGACATTGTCATCATATACATTTTATCACTGAGTTAATTGCAGAATGACATTCATCACACCAATTGTTTGACAATTATGTACACACTGAAATGTAGATGGCTTTTTCCGTTATTTTTCCAATAATAACAAGGGGTAAACGGCGGGTTTAAGCAGAGATGCTCAGTCCTCATGGCACCTGATCCCGGCACTAATGTTTTCGAGGTCCGTGTTTACTCTGACCAAATTTGTTTTTTAATCATTTTCAAAATTGTTCTTGCATCTTACTTCTTTGGGAAAATGTTCTTTACTCAGATATGCTTAATTTTATGTCTGCTAATGTGTCTGTAAACACATACGCTGTTGTTGTTGATTGCTGCTACCCAAAGAAGATGAGTAATTTCATCATAACTGAGACTACATGGTTTGTTTATCCCGGCTTCTTGTGTCAGCAACACTGACAGGAAGTTGCCATCTTTGTCGATCATCTGAACCGTGTTCGAGTTTTGATCACAAACAAGTATGTGTGACAGCGCATCTATACATACTCCGTACGGTGATATTATTACTCCTGGTGCATCAATATGTAAATAAAATAAACGTTCGTGGGGATGTAAATTCTTGGGTAGGGGTGACCACGAACATTGGTCTCCACGAAAAATGTTGATTCCACAGTAAACAATCATGACATTTCTACGTATATCTAAAAGACTTGTTTCCCTTTTATAACATTTACTAGTGATTTTTTTACTGAAAAGTTAACCAACCACGTTCAATTATTTATCATGCCAAAAAAGTGGCATGAAAATTGACCAAGCCATAAACATTTTTTAAGTGCGTTAGTAGGGTTGATATAACGCATTTTGGAAAAAAAATTTATTCTTTCAAAGTGCGTAAACTTAGTCCCCGAACTAACGTACTTTGAACAAAATGTTAAAGTGAGTAATTTTTCAAAGTGCGTTGTAACACTCCTCCTCTGTAAAGAAACTCAAGGCGAGCAGTTTATACATCTTTGTTTAATAGACCTTATTCTAATTTGATAGAAAGCGTGATGACGCAATAATGCGATGACGTTGATGCAATGGTTTCAAAATAAAATAAATGTGTGCAAAATAGGAATTTACCAGGTGAGATAATAATTTCATTGGTGTAGTCTGTACCATAGTTAGTTGATAGGGCAGAGGTCAATAAAATATTCAATAAATTCATTTTTTGCGATAGATATTTTAAAGATATTCATAAATAATAAATTGATGAATTTTTCTGTTCATAATGCATAGGTAAACCATAGGTAAAACCAGGTAAATCCTAGCAAAACATACTGCACACCTATTGCTCCATACCTAAGTATCAAATGTGTTCAAGATGAGAACATACTGATACACTGCTGGGTAGGGATCAATCGTTATTTCCCGATCATGACAAGGAGCATACGGCGAGTTTTCGTGACATTAGGGCTAATGTGTAATATACTGCTTCAAGACTGAATGATATTGAGGTGTTTGCTATTCATCGTATATACAAACAGTAATTCTCCTTAGGCCATTCCAAGCTTTTCCCTCTTTAGCTTCCACCCGTCTTTCAAAAACCTAACTACCTATTCGCAAAAAGCACATAAACCCAAAAAATAAAATAAAACACAGACTTTTAAGTCATTTAAATAATGCTATTCAAATGATTTATCATTAAGTAAAACCCATTTTCTCATAGAAATACCTATTCTCCAGAAAAATCAAGTTACTAAATGCTGAGAATATGCCTAATTTGACATTTTGTAGACAAATAGTAAGGGAAATTGAGAGAATTTATTGATTTTGATCAGGATATTCAATTTTAGAACTCCTGGTTTTGTTTGTTTTTTCACAGATTGGGTGTTAAAAACCAAGGTGCACGCGGACGCTAAACATAGAAAAAAACTTGAAATGGCATTATTCTAAAATTATTTTACCTACCATTTGTATGAAAGCCGGAAAGGTTCATTTCTAAAAAGATAAAAACTATTTAACTCGTTATAACGAGATAGTTATCTCGTTATAAAGAGTTAATTATCTCGTTATAACGAGTTAGTTTTCTCGTTATAACGACTTAACTATCTCGTTATAACGAGTTAATGTTCAGAAGCCATTAAATTCTTACGTAGCTGAGCTTACAATTTTTTGACCGGTCGGCAGGGGATCCTCACTCCTCCATGGCACCTGATCCCACCTCTGATGTTTTGGAGGTCCGTGTTTGCTCTACTCCTTTTTTGCATTGCTTTATGTTCTTTTTTTCTTGAATACTTTACGTTTTATCCATATGTTTCAAAGCATCATGAAGTACCGATATATGCAACTCGTGTCAACGTTATTAAATTCTTAATAATTGATGGTCGTGTGGAGCTTTTGTTTTTAAGATCGTTAAATAAAATTTTTAAAAAAGGTTAAAGGTCCTTATTTATGTTTTTAATCATTGTTATTGACAACAAGGTTGTTTATTGGAGAGAAAAAAAGAGTTCTTTATTTTCAATATCTGACTTGAGGACTGTGCTGGGTACCCCTACCATTGCCACATTCATATACCATTGAAAAGAAACTTTTTTGCTTTCATTAATTCTTCGTAATTGTCCAATATATATACAAAGTAGTTGAGCCTTACGTCTCGGGTTCGAATCCCATTGTGGTACGTGGAGACCGGTCCTTCGGAGGAGACCTATGAGCCGAGGTGTCGTGTCGCAGTAGGTCCTGGCACGAAAAAGATCCATCCTTTCTCAATGGTCCTGAGTATAGGACACAATTTGCAGCTATCCAGCGGCAAGTAGTGGCTTCTAAATATGATTGAAAAATTTCGAGAGGGACGTTAAACAACATTCACACAAAACAAAATATTTGCAAAGGTTCACCGACGGTCGTTAATTCGAAAGAAAAATTAAAACAATGCCTCAATAATTTTCGAAAAGCCCTTGTATAAACTCATCACCTGCATACGCAGTTTAAACATCTCAGTTTATTCGATATACAAAAGCATGCTCTACGTATGAATAATATCTTTAACGAAGTATATTAATGACAAACAAGCTCATAAATAAGAATATCAGCAGTCTCGATTAAAATAATCATTTCGTAAGTTCTACGGTCAATACAATGACATTGTCATCATATACATTTTATCACTGAGTTAATTGCAGAATGACATTTATCACACCAATTGTTTGACAATTATGTACACACTGAAATGTAGATGGCTTTTTCCGTTATTTTTCCAATAATAACAAGGGGTAAACGGCGGGTTTAAGCAGAGATGCTCAGTCCTCATGGCACCTGATCCCGGCACTAATGTTTTCGAGGTCCGTGTTTACTCTGACCAAATTTGTTTTTTAATCATTTTCAAAATTGTTCTTGCATCTCACTTCTTTGGGAAAATGTTCTTTACTCAGATATGCTTAATTTTATGTCTGCTAATGTGCCTGTAAACACACACGCTGTTGGTGTTGATTGATGCTACCCACAGAAGATGATTAATTTCATCATAACTGAGACTACATGGTTTGTTTATCCCGTCTTCTTGTGTTAGTAACACTGACAGAAAGTTACCATCTTTGTCGATCATCTGAACCGTGTTCGAGTTTTGATCACAAACAAGTATGTGTGACAGCGCATCTATACATACTCCGTACGGTGATATTATTACTCCTGTTTCAGGACCTGTGTAGGAGAAACGATGTCTTCCTTCATAGTCTACCACCACTACGGCACGACGGAGAAAGTCAGACACAATAATATCTCCATTCAAGTTCTCTGTGATGTATCTAGGAAAACTGTAAATTCCGAGACCATTGCTGTTGTGTTGTATTGTCTGTATGTATTGACCAGTGTCGCTATACCGCACTACTTTCCCTTCTTGAAATGTGTCAGTATTCCACATCCCGACCAGAAGATCTCCATTGGAAGTGGAGCACTGAATACACTGTGGTTCCCAAGATTCGGTTTTCTTTACTAATGTCTTGGATCTGTTATCTTTAGATATTTTGATAATGTGATGATTCTTACGTATATAAATAAGGTCAGAGGTTATGTTCACGGTGTGAACTCCCCAATAACTACCTTATCTGGCACTTGACATAGGATGTCTCCTACAGTGTTTGTTAGGTTGAGGTTGTTAATATCACTGATCCATATTTCTTCTGGTGTCTTAATGGTTATATGTTTTACACAAATAACACCTTTTGCTGTGAAAGATCTTTGCAATATCGGTGAAGGCATCTGTTTTAGCAGGTATTTATTATTCACCTGTCTTTTTCCCGTCCCCATGATTTCTGCTCTTTTTATCATTTGGAAACTACTTAGAGTTATAATCAGATCCTCAAACTAGATTTCTTTTGTCAGTATAGGCAGGACGTGCTGGGTAAATTTAGGAGTGTTCTCCATTTTGGAAACAGAATTTTTTCAGGATCAATACAAATTTTACAGGTCCTTTTGCTGACTGTTCAAACTTATGTTGATATTTTCTCTAAACAGACGTGATGTGAGTTCATTTCCTTCTTAAATGTTTGAAATCTATGAAAGTAATTTCTATATCCGATTTTAGAATCTTGTACTTCTGTGTTAATGTTTCTTATCAGTTCCCGGGCTCTTTTTGACATTCCTGATTGACGGTTGTACATTTCTGCGTAACATATTTTGATTCCTATAAGGAGAAAACTGCTTACATAGAGGGTTTCACTTCTGATGTTGTGAAGAATTTCCATGTATTTAAAGCGGTTCATCTTATATGCTGTTCCTATGTCCGTTAATGTGTGTTTAAGGTGTTCTTTACATTTAAAACAGACAGGAAGTTTACAAAAATTACAGTAAAATGTATAAATTCTGTCTGGATATTTCGCACAGATATCTTAAATTTGGATGCATTCGTACTTCTCGCGGTAAATCACAACATCATGGTATATGGTTGTGAGGGTGTGGGTTATACACCCTGATGAACTTGCAAAAATCAAAAGAAGAACTACAAAATTTTAACAAAATTCAATCAAAAAAAATTAAAGAACAAATAAACAGAAATTTTCACATAGAAAATTAACCGAAAAATGTACAAAATAAAATAAATTGAAAATGTCTTTGTTAATTGGTATTGGTCCACGTCAGTCAGTGCGCATGTCCCTTGGTATGAATTGGTCCCGTTTGCCCTAGTCCTTCCGTAAGTGCGGAAATCCTTTAAGAATAAATTTTTGCAGTTTCCTTTTAGTATGGCTGCACGAAACAATGTTAATTGATAAAGGGCTGCGTGGTACACCGGGTTCCAGAGACAATGGTCCGAAGCCAGGCTCAACACTTTGAATGTCTTTCAATGAAATTAAATATTCAGAATTATTTCCAAATTCACAATATTTATAATTCTCAAACTTTCACAATGTTTAGTTCATATAATAACTTTATATCAGATAATGAAATGTTCAACGTGGGTCACCGCCCGGTGATATAACTTACAAAACTGGTTTGAGATATGTGTCATATGGGCCGCCATAGTTACGCTAAGGTCTCTGTCACACACCATAACATGATAAACCATTCACGGTAGCTCAGTCGGTAGAACGCTGGCTCCGTGATCGGGATGTCGTGAGTTCGAATCTCGGCTACGACTGACCTAGTCGTTAAAATGGGTAGCAACTGTTCCTTCGCACGATAAAGATCCCCCACTGCTCAATGGCCCTGATTGCCGAGTAAAGGTCAAAATTTGAAGCCCTTCACCGGCATACGGTGACATCTCCATATGAGTGAAAAATTCTCGAGAGGGATGTTAAACAATAAACAATCAATCAATCAATCATAACATAGAAATGGCTACCCTCTAATAAAGAATTTCAGTACCCGACAGTTTACATACTCTGTAACGTTCTGTAGAGAGAATTTTAGGCATGAAAACAATGCACAAGACCCATGTGGTTGTCTATAGATAGACCCCCTGGTAGCACTAAACGAACACATCTATCGGCTGATGTTTTTACCGGGTACTACACAGAACACGCTTTAACCGTACTATTTACAGTAAAACGAGGGGCTCCCCACACGGCTGCTATGTTACCATGGGAACTAAAGGAAATAAGGGGCTCCCCACAGATTTTTTTTTTGCAAATTACCGGAAGGGTGAAACAAGGGAATATATTTACAATGATAAACCACGCCAACAAATTAGCCAAAGGACGCGCGCATACGCCAGTGAAACGAACACAACAATAAGTTGACCGGGTCTAAAAACCAAATTGCGGAATTTTCCTTTCATTTTTCGTGTGAATGTATTGATTATAACAGTCTACTGTATAAATGCCTTTTTTAAAGTAAGATGGCAATTTAATAGATGGCTGGACGAGTAAACCAGTTGGTAACATCTAAGCGTTAGCGCTTCATAAAAAATATTCCTACGTGCAAGTCCTGTGTGATTTCTGCACCAATAATCTAGCCCTTTGCAGTCAACTAGTGATGAGTGTTTAATCAGGCATTATTAGAAAACATTTTTATGATGTCACATGACTTTGTTGATCATGTGATGAACACTTATGAATTCCTAACTGTTGCGCAAAATAGCATCGGCACAAGTGAAAAACAAAATTACAGAGAACAGTTTGTTACATAAGTCAATTACATGCAAAACAAAATTATTGTGAAAAGTTGTGAAAAGTGTGTTACATAAGTCGATTTAAAACAAATTTTGTGACGTCATCTTTTGTTAAACCTGGTTCAATAAATTTGTTATTGTCCTGCATCCCGTCCAATAAATTACCTGTAGGTGTCCAATAAGATTCAACTTATTGGACAGGTACAGGTAACGTTAAAATGAGAACAAAGGGCGAGGCAAATAAGTAAACAGCACTTAAAAGGCAATGACAAAACAAACAATTGATATTATGTGAACAATGAAGGAAATTAGTAGCGTTAAATGTTAATATTTCACAAAAAATCCTATTGAAAATGGCACAAATAATCAAGTGAGTTGAATGTCTCAGATTCATTATTGTAGACGCATCCGTGGCTCCGATCATAAATTTCGTAAATTCACGTTCATTGCTATATACTGGAGTAATAGATTCATTTCACAATCATTGATCCAATGGGCACAAAAGATAAACGAGAAGCATGCGTTTTCACGTCTTACACACAACCTTGGTCTTTTTGTTTATTGAAATATCTTTTTTTCCACATTTAGCACAAAATTTAGCTCACGCAATTCCAACGGAATCTGTAATTTTGTCCGGTGATTTATGACCATTTGTCCACCTATTCCCGTGTTGTTTGAGCGAGTGTCTATCGTTCTTTTAAGGAGTGATTTGAGTACCCCCGGTAAAATCCTTCCGAGTTCAAAACCTGCACAATAGAGAAAGTGTTGCATTTGTAACGTGTGCCCAGCCGAGCGGTCTATATATTCAATAGGGCACGTACCCGGTTACACCCGGGATTCCTGCAGTGCAATAATTTAGGCAAATGATTTGTATCTTGTCCACTAGGACACAAACTTAATCAATATATTTACGATGATTATTTCAGCAATTTACCTAATCAATATATTTACTACGATTCGCAGAACAAAATCAAGGGACAATTTGACTCCGGACCACTTGTCTCACCCCTAACCAATGTCCCGGACAACTGGCCTAACCAAGGGTCCAGGTTACTAAACCAAAGGTCTCTAATCAACATGCGTCTCCAGTTCACTTTGGCACTAGGGTACAGACTTATTCAGCCTTTATTTCTAATGCCAAAGCTACAGTGGTCGACCAGTCGACGCAACCTATACAAAAGGCTTATTCAGCCCAAAAGTAACCTGATTGTGAATCAGCTTATTCAGCGTTGTCACTTTATCTTATCACCCTTACTATTTTATTTCCCTTATCTGACCACTTCTTAGATCAGTCTGCTGCAGTGAACGTAACTGTACTGATTCCGAGATGGACTGACTGAATCTGTCAACACCCGCTATATATATAGCATAGGACTGGTCTATTTCATGGTAGGGGAGACAGGTCATTCCAAGTCAAAAACCCTAACATCCCTTGTTATACTGATTGGAATAACCCTGATTCATTACATCACCCACCCCTTAAAGTCATACGTCCCGTATGAAAACAACAACCATTCAAGGGTAACAAATATTTGTGTAGTTTTTTTTATAAATGCACAGAATATCTTTCTTAATGTCAACAATAATCAAACTTTAAAGCAATAGTTAACCATCTGTTCACAAAAAGATAACTTGATTTTAACGATCCATATGTTTTTCTAACACATTAGTTAATCCCTGACATAGTCTGACATCCATTTTGGTGGACGTCGTTTCCTTTTTGTGAGATCTGACGACCAAATATCGTTTTGATCACCTGATTCTATATTGGTTTCTGACCATGTTTCCTCCACTTGGTCACTAGTATTCCCTAAGTCGTTTCTTTCATCAGAGACTTTATTCTCATTTTCTAGACTTCTCTGTTCATCTAACTTAACAACTTTACTAGAAGTTGATTCTCCCCTCAGTAACTGAGGGTGCTGTTTTCTTATCCTGTCTACGTGTACGACCTGCTCTCGACCTTTTTGTCCACAATTAATCTTGTAGGTCAGATCAGAACATTTGCCTAGGATGGTATATGGACCATGCCAATACGAGGTCAATTTCCCTGATCTACCTATTTTGCGAACCGGAAAGTACACAAGAACATTATCACCGGGAGAAAACTTTTCAAAGCTAAGCTTTCTGTCATGATATGTCTTTTGACGACACATCTCTTGCTTAGTATTTTCCCGAACTATTCTGTGAGCTTCTTCCAAGCGTTCCTGTAATTCCCAAACCCATTGGCTTCTTGGAGTGACTTTCACTTCTCCTGGCAATTCGTACATTAGATCTAGGGGTGTACAGGTCTCTCTTCCTAACATTAAAAAGTTCGC